AAAAAAAAAAAAAAAAAAAAAAAAAAATACTAATTAGGTTATTCCTAAATACACGGGCTTCATCGGCACGATTTTATGTTAACAGCTTTCTTAATTTATTCTTACTATTTGTATCATTTAATCATTAAAAATTAATCAGAAAAATCTTACCAATATGTTCATAAAAGTTTCATTAATAAAGAACCGAAAATAAAAAAGTTTTATCGTTGCATTAGTATTGTCTCACCGACACCCGGGAATGTAACGTTTTTGTGGGCTCCCAACGTTCAGTCGTCGGTTCGTGAATGGGAAGCCTCCTCGGCGCGTCGGGGGTCGAGGCAACGAAGTATGCGTTTGTCGGGTTCCACGGTCCCTCCCCCCCCCCACAGTGGTGAGAATGACGCCTGGACAATAATCGTAACAATCAGTCAATAATCGCGAGGTCCCTGTATTTTGTTTCAAAATTAGTTCTGAAAAACTGCGTACATGAAAAGGGAGAAAATATATGTTAAATTGTGCTTACACTGCCATTTATAATTATTGGGACACCTGGTCTGGGTGAAGAAAGTGTAATGTTTGATAAAATTTTACATTAGCATAAGTGTTATCCATCGAGCTTTAATCCATTAAGAACCAATGTTGCTTTAATGCAACAACCCATTTGCAATTTTTTTCAGTCAATTCACATTATTGAATCCTGTTTTTTAACATTGTGGTTATGAAAGGGAATTCCACGGATTTTAACAATAATTTGTTCATCATTATTTCTTCTTCCATTTACTTATGTAATTTTGTGAAGAATACAAAATCGTATGTACCAAAATTATATTATATTACTGCTCGGTCGTTAATGGATTAATATATACCATAAACAATATTTATTTGAGACCTTCAACAATTTTCTAATGGCTCATCGTTAGACTTCGGATGTGTATGCAAATATAGATTTTCGTGAACTAATTTGTAAAAACTGAACCTGTAACAAACATTGTTTACTGTATTAAAAGTTTTATCAGATTCAAAGTAATTTTGTTATACTGAGTTTTAGACAATTGTAGATGCTATAAATGCATAAAATCCGGAGTGTCTTCGTCACATTTACTTCATATTTAATATTTGTTCTAATACTTACGAACGGGTGTGTATACCGAAGCACTTTTACTTGTTTACCTACGAGTCTCAAAAGTGTATAAATAATTTTGTAAACAACTGGAAGAAGATAATAATGTATTTAAATATCTATTTACTTGAGCGAATTATCCCATGTCAATCTTCCAGCGATAGCTGGCATGTGTCTAGGTAACGGTGGATCATCCCGTTGCTTTTTAAATAATTTCAGTATTCTGTCAATTTCTCGGTCGCAATACTTTACCACGATATTGTATTTTTCGTCAAGTTTGGTCAGTGGTATCTTTTCGCTTACCTTTAAAGAAAAGAGTCGTTTTTAAAACGAATTCAACTGTATACCATCCGTTTATGTGTAACTAAATGTGTAATAATTTTATTAAGATTGCAATTGAATAATAATAAAACGTTGGAATATGAATTTATCACAACACGATACTTCACTTTTTCAAATCGTGTTAGGAATCGTATACCCTGAGGCGTTTCCCAAACGTCAGCGTAGTTCTTCTCAATAATGTTTCCGATGTTCTGTTTCAGGTCATCTGTTTTTGCCATGAAGTCATCATAATCGATATCAAACTCTGTGTTTCTTGCGTCCAAGTAATCATAGGGTCTGGTAGTAGCAATTTTTTCTGCTTCTTCGAATATTCTTATCGCGTCGTCCAATGCTGTTTAAGTAACAAAACAAACTGATCACTTCTTCTCTCAAAAACAAAAGAACTTGAAATTTTTCTGAAAATTCCAATATACAGAACGATAAACAATTTTTCAATTAAGGATTTAAGTTGAATAACAATGACTAGGCTGTGGAGTTTATTCATTTACAGCCTATAGATTTTGTGAAATACAATAGAAGACAAAATTTTAATTAGATGCAATGAGTTTTCTCTTTTGTTCTAAGGGAAGAAACAAATTCCTACATGTTTTATTATCTATGTGAATTACTTTATAATACGTCATTGCATAAAAATTAGCGGTCTAATAGAGATTTATAATGCTAACAGAAAATAAACCAATAAAATATACCCTTTCGTCCATAAGTATCATAATTCCTGTTATAGCTGAAGAAACACCGACGTTTCGTACAAATTACGTATTTCACATTACTTTCAGGATCCTGTATCGTTAAATACATAAAATTTAAGTTTAATATTTTCTGTAGAATATGTATTCAGTACTATCAATAATTTTGCAATAATTTTTCAAGTTTACTTTATATTTAATAGCTGTTCCATTGTTAGTACATATCTATGTACATATATTAAATATTGTGATACATTAATATGCCAACATAAGAATTAATGTGTTAACAGATAACAGTTAGAACTACCAAAGAAGACAAAAGACAATCTGTTCTTGAAATCTTATAAGAATAATGTAAATGTTATAACGCCGAACTTAGACATACACAGCAAGTAAAAAAGAAAAAGGTACTGAGCTTCGCGGTATATCAAGGAAAATCCCCTCTCAATGGTGGGGATGTACACCGGGCGCTTATGCTGTAGATCGTTTCGGGCAATAATCCAAGTTTACTGTACATACGTTTATCATCGCTAGTTTTTATTATATTGTATATTGTTGCTATATATTGTTACCAAAAATTAGATGTTTCCATTATACTAATATTCTTGACTATACTAATTCTTAAAACTTTGTATACCCTCTCCTAATAGCAGGCCCTCCATTCGTCTTTCAAAGAGATATTGGTAGTCCTGTATCAGCTCGAACATGTTTAAAATCTTCCTGATTCTGTCGCAAAATGAGTCGAACCGTCCAAATACGTGGGTTTCTGAGAACGAGAATTCTTGTTCGGTTACAGCAGGCGAGCATCGAATTAACCTATAGGTCTCCCTGTAAGCCCTTCAAACGCGACAACTTTTATCAATTTTTTTCACGCAAATTATGAACGAGCATGCGTGACGAAATTTTATCATTACTTGTTTAGTCTCAAGCAATGCTTTAGCTTGGATCGCACTGCCGCTCGATCTTGACCCCATACAGTTTCGCGGCCTCGATTGGTGACGTAGTCCCTGCAGGCCACAATCATTTGGTTGGTGATCTTCATCATTAATGAGCTGGTGCGTTCGGAGGTGTTGTAGTATCTCGAGACACTGTATATCAAGCGAACTGTTTGTAACAATGACACTAGGGAGTCCCTCATTTTTACCTAATCAACAAAATAGCAAAGTTTCTGTGTGTCATTAACTCACGGCCAAAGGCTTTTGGGGGTTTAACACTATAACTACCAGCATTGATTGTAGGTTAAATGAAATTGTATAATATATTGATACATTAGTGGACAAAAAAGTTAATAATTTTCTGGTGTTATTTATTTATTTCTTATGTAACTATTTTGTTTATATTTCTATTATTTTTTAACAGCAACTTAAAACATTAATATACTGGGTTGTATACAGCTTTCAGTTTTCTATTGCAATACATGCATATTAAACATATACTAAAGTTTTAAGTTGATGTTGAAAAATAGAAGCAATAAAACAAATCGAAAAGGTGTTAACCGTTTTGTCCATTACTGTACATGTATGATATATGTATAATACAATGTAACAACATAATGAAAAATTTATAATAAATTCAAAGTCACCATAAATTCCGACAGAAACACCTTTATTATTTGAATAATTGTAAAATAGGAAATTTGACATCTGTTATTTTGAAGGGTTTGGTTCTTCTAGTGTTAATACAACAGGGACTCCTTAAATGCTCATAGGGTGGTCCCTACCACTTTTTGGAATTTATTCGGGCGAACTTAGTGTAATATTTGCAGGAATTCGACATTACTTTTCGTTAATCTAATAGTATAATCTAAAGTATACAAGAAATTAAAGGTCAACACAAATTTGACCTTTAAAATGGTACCTTTATGATTTTAGTAATCGTAAAATAAGGTAATTGAATGGGTTTGGTAGTTCCAAAGTTACACTTGTAAAGAATTCTTTCTGTGGCAGCTCTTACGGTCATATTCCAACAGAGAATTATACAGGATATATCACAACTTGTGGGACCCCCTTCAAAAATGGACAGGAGACACAAGAACAATGAAAGAAGTTCGTATAAACATGTATCCTATGTGACCTTGTTTCAAATTTATAGTAATTTCTCTGTTCTAATCATTCTCATCTGCTTACCTTCATAGAAGGCTCTCAAAATGGTCTAAACCAGGCCTGTCCAATATGTGGCCCGCGGGTAACATTGCCAGACGACGCGATCCCCACCATCACTCATAGTAGACAGGCCTGGTCTAAACGAACAATTTCCTCATACATAAATGGATAGGTCGTGCCGGATCTATCGCTTGATCTGCTTGTTCCCCGAATTTAAATCCATTGGATTTTTATTTTTTGGGCTACTTGAAAACAATTGTGTATTCGACACCTATTGCCAGTGTTGAAATCTTTGCAAGTATACAACAAGGCTACCAACAGGTTAGATATATATATATACCTAGTAAAGTAGTGATGGGCAACCGCGCCCACTCGGGCACGTTGCCCGTACGGGCAAGAGGCGGGCAGCCGCGGGCTCCTGTGGAGGGGATGCGCGACAGGAAACGTCGCTTGTGTATGAAGTGAGTTATAGATACGCACTCTCACTCACACATTTCCCCCACCACTACTATGTGCCCGCACGCTGCACATGCCGTTGCCCGCCAGTGAGTTTGGCGAGCGCTGAGTTGCCCATCACTGTTAAGTAAAATGTCTACTAACCGGGTCATCCAGGTACAAACAATGACAGCACTTCTCCAAAGCCTGGATGAACTTCGCGTTGTCCTTGGCTTCATTGTAACAGTAGATGACTTCATCTTCGGCGTCCACCCAATCCTTTATCAATTTCGAGCGCGCGACTTGCAGGCACAATAGTGACATTTGTATTTCATGATCCTTCACAAAAGACACACACGATGCTGTTCTGTAACATTTTTGCTCTCAACGTTCGTAAATAAATGGAACGTAACAGCGGAACCTGAAGTTTATTGACGAGCTGACTGAATTGCGCTCCTCTCCGTTTCCAGTACTCGAGCTCTTGTTGCGGCCCAGAATTGTCATTCTCCCGTTTCACCTGCTTACTTTCCGCCATGAAGTCCTTCAGACTTTTGATCCAGCTTTCCACCCTGTTCTCCACGATATTCACAGCGTTCGCCTTTGACACAAATGTTTTCGCGTCCTCAAAATTGCGCACCCCTCCCATTAGCATTTCGTCGTCTTCGAATATTCGTCCCTCGTGGGCCACCTGTTCACACACTGTAATAAATGTACGAACGTCCATCTTATGTACCGAATATCTAAGTAGAAATAAACATTAATAAATAGAAGGTTTTTACACAGAAAAATGAAACCTGATATTTGTTTCATCTTTGAATTTTTATCACTAAAACTACCAACGTTGAATGCAGGTACTAGGTACACTGAATTCTATTGTATGATATAGTAATATATAGACAATATGTAATACAATTTAGTGAAATATAATGTAAAATGTATAATAAATTACAGTTAACATAAAAGAAATAGTGAAATATAGTAGAAAATAGTAAAAAGTAGAAGTTTTATTCCGAAAAATAGTTTTTGATACAATGTAATGGAATAATTTAAGTTTATACATATTTTCTTAAAAGTTAATGAGCTCTTAAGGCGTTAGTTCTTTTTCATGTTATTTGAAATTAATTATAAGAATTCTGTTCATTTTTTTCTATCTTCTATTATAATGTTTCTTTTTAAATGATCCCATATGTGACCAATAGGGCTCAGACATGGGCTCTAAAGGAAGTCATTCTAATAATTGAATATTTTGTTTATTGAACATTTCCAACATTTAACTGGATTGTATTAACTATTATATGTTCAATTCGACATGTAGAGTAAGTGTGTAAATTAACATTGGAATTAAAATACTCACCTTTCAAAGCGCTGCAGAAAGATCTTAAACCAGGTAACAGAAGGCTCTTGATCATTGGACAGTCGTCTTCTCCTTCGGACCCAGGGTGCGCGAGTGCGTCCATGAAGACGTGTTCAACGACACGTTGTATCGCTGTTATTATTCCCACTTTCATCGTGTCGATCATACCGGTGTAAAGATCCTTCTGAAAGCCTTCTTCGGGCAATTGTTTCGTGACACTAATCCTAAAGACAAGTTCTTTTTCGAAACGTGCACCATCAGCTGATGCCACAAAGTGATATATTATGTCCTTTCATAATTTATGCGGTTTTCTTTTCACATTTGAATATAAAACAATTAACTTCAACATGATCGCCAATTCTGTGCTTGGTGTAAGTATCCAAGACACCTTTAGACAATGTGTCTGCGTCGAGAGGTGACCTCTCAGCGCTGTAGGTAGGAGGTGGAGGGATGGCATTACAGCCGTCCGGGGGGGGGGGCAATCGCCCCTCCTTCAGAGAAGAGCCCTTCCGTTAAACACCTATAGGGGAGGGCAATGGGCGGGGCTGGCCACTGTCATGCAAAACCGTTGCCAGCCTTACGCCCGAGGGTCACCGGGGGGTTTTTAATGGGTGAAACCCCACATTGGCTGTCTCCGCCACCAACAGAGACGATGCAACTTTGCAAGGTTTTCCCCCCGTAAAAAAAAGGTTTGTTTGTGTTTAACAAATAAAAGATTAACTTTCCTGCGATTTCAAAAATTTAAGTCTTGAGAACATCCGTAGAACTTTTGGGACGGACGTTTCTAGAACATCCGAAATCTAAGTCTTACGAACGTCCTAGGGATGTCCAAAATGGATATAGTGCTATCTGGGAGAGGTAGTGTTTTTTGGGTTACAAGGTTACCAGTGAAGGAATCAGCCCGCTACCGGACAAAGTGATCGCCATAACAGATTTTCCGAGGCCGCAGATCATAAAACAACGGAAATAACATCCAACATCCTTACAGAGGGGTTTCAGAAATTTCAAGATCATCTCTATTTCTTCAAATAACATGCTATACTTTTTTCTTCATATTAGAACAGTGGATGTTTAGATGATCTTAACGAACTCTAATAGAAGATGATTCGAGAATAAATAATGGAGTAACACGACGGGTCTTATATCAGAAAAAGTGCTCAAAGTGTTGTTACGTTGATGCAATCGGACACCATACTCTCATTAAGATACCAAAAAAAACTGCATCATGTATGGGATAAATAAATATATTTGTCGGTACCTAAACATGTAGATGCATATTCCAGTGCAGGGAACTTGCCACCCATCAGTCAGAAAAAGTTTTTTCTTCGCTGGCTCCTTCGTCTCTTTGATCTCCTTTACCTTTGGCGTTGGCGCGTTTGGACCTGACCTCGTACTTGAAACTTTTGTCTGCATCTGTCGAAGCAAATCGCAAACTTTTCTTTATGGTACAGTAGACAAACTGTTTTCCCCTGATTCTATGACTGTATTTCAACAATCTTTTACTTTTGATTATAAATAATAGATATTATTCAAATGTTATTATTATTCTTCGTAAAATCCATGTAGCGGCCAACGGCACGTACAAAGAAAGAAAATTTGGCGTGTAAATGGTTGGCGAGTTTTATGATACCAGCACCAGCAGAGCTATTTTTGAGAAAGCCGTTTTCTTTCCGCTTTCAATTGCAGTTTTAGACGACGCACATTTTTGCCTTTAGAGACTTTTGTTAGGGGCCTCAATAGCTATGCGGGTATCATAAACCTCGAGTTTCCGAAGGGTTGCGAAGCGGGGCCAGATGACCGGCGATCGGCCACGTCATGCGCCTTGGAGGTCCGGAGGAAATTCCGCTGCGTTGCCAAACTTCCGCCATAGGTCTCACTCCCGCCAAGTCACATCCCTGTTCCGAAGGAAGCGCGCTAAGGGCGCAAGGAATAGGTGGCGTGATTGGACGATTAGGAAGCGCCTGATTGGTTAATGCCGACGCGCTACATTAACCAATTAGGATAACTTCCGGGGTTTTGACGAGCTCCTCGAAAAGACCGACGACAGCGAGAGCAGTTCGTGAACGAATCTTGTCTGTTCATAACACAAATAAAGACTTAGCCGAATCATTGTGTAGATCATTTATACGCAACATAGTATCCTTCATCCACTTTCTCGGAAACGAAGTCTCGTACGAATCAATCTCACTCGTAAACTAAACTCGTAAACAACGAATTAATCTCACTTGTCTCTTTAAACGTTGTATTGCGTCAGTTTTGGGTAGGAATACGCAGTCGCCCCGCGAGCGCGCGGGACATGAGGTCACAGTCTCGGTGCCCCTCGCGCTGCCCGCGGGGCAGCCTTTCGTATCTCGTATTGCCTGTTGTCATACAACCTTGAACCAATGTACTTCTAAACAGATGATTTTATATCGAGAGGACTGATGTTAAGATCTCTGTTGATTAGACATTTTTTATTCCACTCGGTGAGTATTATAAGATCCTAAAGTTTTTGATCCTTTTACTTGAACACCCTGTATTAATTCAACCTTTTAATAAAAGAATGAATTAAATTGAAATGAAAAGCAATAATGATGTCATTACCGTTTCTGGAGGTCGTAGAGCTTCCGGTTCCTCTACCTCCTGATAATACCAGACCAGGGTTGACCTCATATGGGGTAGGAACAATTGATTGATTTCGTCGAGCATGTCCCCCTCGAAGACGTGATCCATGACCTCGTGACGTGACAATTGCGTCGCGTCCATTAGGAGCTGGAAAGCGAATTCTAGTCGGGGATCCATTTCCCCTCGTCTTGCCTTTCGTTCGCATTCTTCTCGGCGTTTCTTAAGAAAAAGAACGACAAGAATTAATCGAATTGCGAAAGGTGTGAGATACCGTCTCACTGCAATGGTTAAATATGAACGTATATTTATTAATATCTCAAGTTACTGCGTAAATAAGACTTTTATTTAGAAAATTTATGATTTTTCCAAAGAATTTATTGTACTGTGCTAGTAATTAGTTCTAACAATAAAAGTTTTAATATAAAGTTGAGTTGTAACATAACTACGCAGGGTTAATTATGTACATTACCGTTCAAAAGTTTGGAAACAGTTCACTAAAATCGTAAAAGGTCAAGTTACAGATTCTTTTATTACAAAGGCTTATACATTGTATAAAACCAAAACCAAATTAAGCGGAACGAAGAAACTTTTCTTTATCAAAATGGTTGTTTCATTCAATCCTTTATTCTTACTAACATCCAAGAAATCATTTAAGCATTTTATTTATTAATTTCTTAAAATATGACTTTCCTTTCACTAAAAGAACATGCATTATGTTCATACAATCCTTTAAATTCTTCTGCAAAATTACATAAAAACTAAGATAAAGTAAAAATGATATTACATTAAATACGAAGTATGTATTTCTTTCTTTTCTACTAGCCCTGTTCTCTCTAATATTGTATACATATACCTTATGTTTCATAGAGATATTCTAAAACTTCATAAAAATCAGCGAGTAGCGATATAATAATCTCGCGAGTCCCTTCACTTAAATTGTTTTTTTAACGAAGGATTTGGTTTGCTTTAGTTACAATCCCCAAAAGAACAAGAAGAATTAATCAAAGTATCAGGAAAAGAAACAAGCAGAGCAATATCAATGTAACCCTTAACTGGTGAGGTGGAAATCTTATTACTAGATTGCGAATATTTTGCAAATATAGAATTTTGGGGATTAATTTTTTGAAACTCAACGCAAAGAAAAATTGATTTACCCTGTCAAGGGTTCTATTAGGTTCGAGATAAAAAGAAAACCCGAATTCACCTTCTGAAACTTATTTCTAATTGAATTTTGGAGAATCGGATATTCTATAAATATATAAAATCCGCAGTCTACTTATTACTTACCAAAAGCTTACTATACACAAACTTTGTTGTTCATTGCATAACTAGTTGTTTCGCATTCTCATGTAAGAAACCATCAATATAAACAAGTATCTCTTTACGTGGCAACTATTGAATAAGAATCAAACATTCTAAAAATATCCATGGGGCTCCACAGACCCCACCTCGGTAGCAAAGGGTTAAATTCTTAAATCAATACAACGAAAGCATACAACCCAATCCAAAGAAGTAAGGTGACTATCAAAGTAAACTCTCTTGAATTTCTCCAAGAATAAATATAGAAGAGAATTTTTGACACAAGCATAAAAGGACGAATAAAATGTGAACAACCTGAAGGACATCGCCGGTGCTCTCCTCGTCGCTGTTTTTCTCCGAATTTTCGGACCTTTGTTGGACCAACAACTGCGGTGCTTGCACGAACATGATCGAACGGATCCAAACAGGGAAAGACGAGACGAATCACGTTGGAGATTTGTGGATGGAACGGAGAAATGGAAGGATTCACCGAGGATTTCGCTCGCAAACTGAGAGGGCCAGTAAACAAGCAGTCAAAGCGTTGCAAGGGGAGAATACCCCAGTGCCACACAGGTTCGTGTCTGGTACCGCCCTTCTACGTATCGTTCGTGTCGTGTGGGAATTTCCGCGCGATTCTACCGACATCAGTCGATACCACACCGTGAGCATTCTTTTCCAACTGTTTCTCTTGTGGTGAAAGTGTCACAGGTTCATGTTCCACGAATGCAAGAAGATTGGTGTCGTTACGAGGAATTTTTTAAATTCTATTAGTGCCATCTTTCGCAGTAACTATTCAGATTCTACGCGTTTCGAATAAAGGCGAGTGTACAAAATATAATAAAATAAAATGTTCAATGATAGTTAAATGAAGTCTCTATGGTATTCGGTTGAATTATAATTTTGTTTTCTTTTTCCTTTTAAATTCTATTAGTGCTGTTGTTCAATAACATTTATTCAGATTCTACAGGTTTTTAATGGACGGGAATGTATTAAATATAATAGGATTAAATATTTAAGTATAGTCGAGTGAACTCTCTATGGTATTCGGTTGAATTATAATTTTGTTTTCTTTTTCCTTTTAAATTCTATTAGTGCTGTTGTTCAATAACATTTATTCAGATTCTACAAGTTTTTAATGGACGGGAGTGTATTAAATATAATAAAATTAAATATTTAGGTATAGTCGAGTGAACTCTCTATGGTATTAGATTGAATTAGAATTTTGCTGTATTTTGTTTTTCAAATTTATTGGAGTCTATGAAGGTTACAAATTACTGTATTTTTCAAAAATTCAAAAACAGGCTTATAGTACATCTAAAACACTACGACGCAATTACCTAATACATATAATGCATAATCCTTTTAATTTTCAAGTATAGCCTGCATGCTTCTGCTCGAGTTTTCCGCGTACCCCTCAGGGAGTGTTCTCCATATTTGTTTAATTCGGCGGCATAGCTGATTTGAAGTAAGTATATAAACCCTTCACGAAGCTTAAGCTTGATTATGCTCCAGAGATTTTTAATCGGATTAACGTCTGGTGATTGTAAAGGCCAGTTTAGAATCGATTTATAGTAAATCATAACTACATGTGCACAATGCAACTAATGACATCTGTTTATTCGAAATGTTTCGTTAGTCTTCATTTTTTTACGTAATTTACGTTGCAACTGTATTTTATATTACTTAAAAATCAAGATAATTTTTAAGCAAATAGTAATTCCAGAAAGTAATAGCCAGTATGTTCCAGATTAATGTCGATATAAAATCATCTGTCTAGAAATCAAATCAAAGGTATTTATAAAATACGATAAAACTTTCTAACAGATCTAGTATTTAAATACATGAATATTAATAGTAATTACATTTAACTGTATTCAATTTTAAACATTCCTTCTAGAGTACCACTTTAAAAGAATATAACTAGGTAGCTAGTTTTACGAATTTTTAGTATATCTGAATGTGTAAAATGCACTGCAATAAAAACCCGAGTAACGTTAGTTTTAAACTGTTGGAATCGTTAATGGTAAAAAACAATTTTCGTTTAATTCCGATTATAAAAAATTAATTTTTATAAATCGATAGGTTACATTTGACTAAAAACTTTAAGAACATCATGTATAAAAATCGTGGTACAGCCAACCATCTGGTGATTTCATATGCAAATACAAGTTGAAAAAAAAGGATAACATGTTTTCATTTAATGCTTCCTTTTTGAAATAATTTAATGGGAAAATGTGTTAGATACACGTGTAATTGAATAGGACGTCTGCTCATTGCACTCCGTTTCTACTTATTATGTACATATAATACATACATATACTATGACGAATGGGTATAGGTACCTAGACACGTTTCAGATTAATTTTCAAATTCCATTTTCTCGAAAACGAAACCTTAAATGAGAAAAATTTATTCTTTTTTTCGACATATTTTTTCTTATAGAATCACAGTTGAATCACGATTTTGGTGATACCTTCTATACTTGTTAAATTTTTCTGTGTTCTGTTTCCACGATTTATTTTCGTTTCAAATTTATCTGTTTTTGTTTAAGTGAAGTGATTATTACGACATTTTCGTTCAATGTATTCCGAATAGTGACATTGTAATTCTTGACACTTACAACAATTTATTTTACTTCTTGATGAATAAGCTGAAGCAGAATGAATCGTAGATTGTAGTACATTATGTAATCAAACCAAAGGAAAAAAAAACAGAAAGAAACGAAGCATGAAAGCAGTTACTCAAAGGATGATTACAAAGTATACCATTCGACTAACTATATGGCAATAAATGCGATTCATCTGAAAATAAAGATTATCAGTTAACGGTAATCTCAACAAGCACGTACAAAATAATATATCCAACATACGAACGGTAATGACGTAGCTACACGCTAAATCATTCATCGAAGGACACGTCCATTCAATACTCAATTCGCATGATAATACCTTCAACGAATCAACTCATCGATCACAAAGCAATTCCACTTCACGATTTCTATAGGAAAATAACGAGTGTCTTACATGCAAGAACATATCGAGGTGATGAACGATTCAATTACCTTCGTGTGTGTGTATGCGCAAGAGTCCAGATAAGCTGGAAATCACGAAACCGTGAAATTGCTGAAAATTTACAAACCATCGAAATATCGTGTTCGTTATCTTATCAGAATCTACGGGTTGACGATCACAAGGAACACTGGCAATTCGTTCGTCGTTCATGTAAAATGGGAATGCTCGATGTTATCTAGGATCTCTCGCTAGCAATGCAGACCCCGTTATCAGGACAATCGTATCGCTTAGTGCAAAATGGTCTAATCAGAGAGCTGGTGCAAGGAACTACTAACGAAAACTCCTCTCCATTCGCTTACTCTGGCTTCCTCGGTGGTCTCCATCATTTCGATGTTTTATCCTTTATAACTGGTACACCCCTGGGAACAATCCACGTCCTTGTGCAGTCCACGCCGTAATGCGACATTAACTCTGTTACCTGGTCTCTTAGCCAGCAATTATTCTCTGTCCTTCTCCTACTCCTTCCGTTTTTGTCTCAGCCTACCCCGCGTCACTTAGCTTAACGATGTATTAACCGACAAAACACACGGGAATTGGGTAGAATTCTGGTCGATCACACGTCAAAAACGTCCCCGAGAACGGGACAGAAGGGAACCTAATGTATAATTCAGGAACATCTAAGCAATCTTCGAATGACCTGGCGTATAACAAAGCCTGGGGAACTTATAATGGTCTCTGGTCTTATCGAGCGAGGAGCCATTATCGTGATAAGGAAATGAATGCCGGGAACTAATGCACACCGGTGGCCTGGCATCGAGTCAAAAAGTTGTCTGCGAGCATCGACCGATGGATGATTGCTGGCGGTCTAGAAGTACTGATCGATTTACACAGAGGTTGTTAGTTGTACCTGAACAAGAGATTTTTATAGAGCTGTGTGTCCGTTGGGACTGTCCTCTGCTTAATCGGACAAGGTGTACTCTCATCCACAAAATTAACAGGTTCGCTACCAGCACATTACTTCGAAAATGTTCGTCACAGACTATGCTAGATTTTCAGCATTCCATTCAATGGAATATCCATATATTTTTGATCAGAAGTTAAACATTCACAAAACCGAGATAATGATCGACACAAAATATAGGTGAAAATTGCAAAACTCATTCCATTTTTATCTAAGAAAGTGTACTAACACGGAAATCGGAGCATCATATTATGTGACGCTGATAGCGAACGCGTTAAACAATTACCCACCGGCTACTATTTCATAGGTTTAGTAGATCTAACGATCAACAGCCGAGGAATTATTATTAAATAGTTCAATCACAGTTGAAAATTAAATTGACCAAAAATAAGAAGAACTCTAATAGAATAACGTTATAATTTCTTCTTTAATCATGTTCTAATAATAAATTAATAGGTTTTCTATCTGTAAATAGTGCAATTTCAAAGTTTGTTAATAGATTACCGGTGAGTAAAATGTTAAAACTTGCAGTTAGTTCCCTTCATACAAGGTGAAACCCTTCTTATAACATTCGATCATCTCAGCTTTAAAAGTCATAACTAAATTTCTCACACTGAACAAACTGCATATTTGACACCCACCAAGGCAAACGATCTAAAGAATAAGTGACGAAAATTTTAATTAAACTAAGCCCCAGTAGGTTAAGTAAATTATGTTAAATTAGACTACGTAAATACGAATTAACCAGATCAAAGTTCCTATCAAAAGTACAAAGTTAACGGGACTAGGGAGTCGAAAAATCGATATTTTCTTTATTGCATTTCTTGAAAGTACTATTCTTTCTGAATAAAATGTCGTTCAGTTTTTATTAAAATTCACAAAATTGTTGATTTGGCAGCTAATTTTGGGATTAACTGTCGACTTAGCTTTTACAATTGGTCACAAAAGTATTCGGCTACGGTTTTGCGGGGAATTGTAAGTGGGCTTGCAAACAAAAAATTGTATCAGAACCTATTTTTAATAAACAGTTATTATAACTAAATGTACATTAAAAATATGTTTTGATAACGTAGAAGCATAGAACGCAGACGAAAGCTTCGATAATACGGTTTGGAAAACAGCTTCAAAAAGGATCTTTAGTGGCCAGGGAAGAATAGAAATAGATACTGATCTATTAGCTGCTGTATTTATTGACAGCTGCAAAGCATTATGAAGCATTAGAAACACCATACTACTCTTTTCGAGCTCATTAAGCGAGGTATATGTGACTAAAATTACTTTGAAACATGAAAAAAACTTTAAACGCGTTTTTCTCTGAACTTTGCTTTCTCTTGGTTTTTTCGTGATTGCGAATAAACGGAGGTTCGGATCGACTTGAAAAAATTACAGGATGTACAGAACATGTACCATGTCCCACTAGGGGAGACCTAGGGGAG